TGTATCCGGAACACGAGAAGCAATGTGGCTGTCTTATACCCCTTAAGTCAGTTGCCTAGTACATAATTAAATGTATGAATTTTGAATGGAATTTCCACGAGGATTGCATAAAATACATAATGATTATTTTAATTACCATTTAAGTGACTTATTTTCTATACTGTTTGCTTTTGATACACAGTATAAGGATTATGACATAATTCATAATTCCGTAAAAAATAGAGTATAAAACTAAAGATGTTTTCAATTTCATAGAGTACATTGGAACGATACCCTGTATACGAAAATATGTGGGGATTTCTAAATACATGCGATGGGAGTTTGTAAAATGAATTTTTTGACATTTTCACATCGAAATTCAACTACACTCGTGGAAGACTATATCGATATTAATGTTTTAATATGATTAAATTTTAATTANGGTACATTGGAAAAATATTGTTTGACTTTTGAAGATGGCACGTGTAGAGTAGTTAAGGGATAAATACTGTATACACAGGATAAAGCCTTCTGAAAGAAAATAAACGTCTGCGTTAATCAAATATTTGTACTTGTTGTCAATCGTTTAATTGTTTATAATTAGTAAGAAATTATAATATTAAATTTACCCCAGACTAAAAAAAATATATGATTATACATCCATTTGTTGTAATAGCATAACATTAAGAGTCTTAGATTAAAGATATAACAATTTTTGCTAAGGTGACCGTAGTTCCCCCAGTCTATCCTATCCAGTAATATTGAAATGAATTTTTTTCAAATCCGAATACCGTTTTTAAATTATTATAGATTATTTATTTACCCGTCAGAAAAAATGGAACATTTTTTAGGCGATTTCGTTGTCATCATTTTGATCTCGTCGTTTTGATTTGACAATCCAGAATAAAACATTTTCAGTGATCTACCAGGAACGATAGAAGACTCGTCTAAAAAATTTATTTCATCCAGTGGTTTTCCCACCTTAAATTTGGGATTCACGACCAGAATAGCTAAAAATGCTTTCTCTCAGAGTTTCGTTCCATTGAGGATGGACAAACTGTTTTGTGACAATTGATTTTTGAAAGATGGCTTTTTTTTCTATCGTAGGCCTGTTCAAGTTTTACAATAGTAAACTTAAAATATACTCGTGATTTAATTTCAACCGTCACAACATATGATTTTTCACAAAATTATTTATTGTAGGCGTTATTAAAAAATTTTTACTCACTGTGTTTAAACCCAAAAGTTTGTAGTAAAAAAATTCATAAAAATAATTATTTTTCCCCGTAATTGAACGATACCCTGTATACGAAAATATGTGGGGATTTCTAAATACATGCGATGGGAGTTTGTAAAATGAATTTATTGACATTTTCACATCGAAATTCAACTACACTCGTGGAAGACTATATCGATATTAATGTTTTAATATGATTAAATTTTAATTACTTGATATTTATTTTTAAAATTTAACGAAATCTGTACATTCATTTAAATAATAAATAAAATAGGTTATGTTAGAAGTAAATGAAAGGTTTAAGAACGTGACGTATTTAAATAGACAGTCAATGTGTTACCTGAGTTAAATAGAAACTACTTTATTTGGAATTTCAAGGAATGAGTTAATTTATATGCCATTTTATTATTGGTTTGCATAAAAATATAAATAAGTAATTTCATTGGAGTTCCTAACGTAAAACTATATCCACTAAACTTACACAAAGAACGAAGACGAATCCATAACAACTCTGATGGTTAATTATCCAATTATATTTATATTTATAGACCAAAGTATTTTAATAAACTCCCAGTATACATTTTGCAAGCTTAATAGGTATAACCTTTTTATCACACGTATAATCTTATTTTGACTATGCTTTTTAACGTTTATTAACCTGATTACACATCTGGTCAGCCTGGCCTAGTGGGTAAAAATGCATGTTTCGGTTCATGGGGTCCCGAGTTCGATCCCAGGGTATCAACGAGATTTTTTTTATGATTTTTTCATTAGTGGTGTCTGGTATCTGGCGCATACCAGCCATGATAACCATCCCGTCCATTATTGGCTTAACCAAGAACTATCTTTGACTCCCTAACACGTGAAAGAGGGCAACCACCCTATGTAGCATGTTAAGTTTGGGGAATAGAAGGATGTAAACATATAAATTCTCTTTTATACGTCGTTGTGCACCTTGATGTCGTACGACGGTATGTTTTTGTAGGGAGACTACCGGTAATTTCTCCGGTGCACGATGCCGCTGTTTAAATCATATCGGTCGTCAACAACACGCTCAAACCCAACCCGTAGCTATTTTAATAGCTTCTAAATAAACTAGTGTCGGTCGAGTAATGCAGGAATCGTGGTCTGAGATAGTCGCAGGAGTCACCTTAATAAAACTCGTATCACACATTTTGTAAAACCTCAAAATCGTATTTGTTCCACGTTTGAGGATCATTGCCTGCCAGGCGCGGATTTTATTTTTATTTCATAAAACTTAAATGGGACAGCTCGAAATTAAGTTTTGTTTTAACTAAAACTGCAAATAGAGCAAAAGTTTTTCAAAATTATTACTCATCGACTTATTACTAATCGTTATTACTCACTAACCACCGATAGTAATATGTGTCTGGTTAAACGTATTGCGTTAATGTAGTAAACTGACGAACAATCTCGACAATTGATCAATGGTTAAGAATAGTAGTTATGTACATCAATACTAATGTTATGAGTAATGTCGATACATAATTATTCTGAATAATAAAAATTCCTTAAATATCATTTTCTCGTTGTGCAACTTTTTCGTACTGAATCGATTGAATAAGAAAAACGATTTAAAGGAAAATCGAATTTATTTAACGAGTTCAAAAACACAATATTAAAAAAAAAAAAATACACGCGGTATTCTGTAATTAAAAACAAACAGCGATAAAAATATACTGACATGTAAAAAACATGACACGTGTCAAGAATATGTTATGCAGGGTGCTAATAAAATGTAAACCGTTTTAGGAAATCAAGAATGTTTTTAAAAAGATTCGACTTCAAATAGGATACAAGATAATGAGCGTCAGGACGGAGAAATTAACTGCGAAGGGTTCTGGTCCCCGAGACAGTTCGGAGGTATGAAGATTTTTTCTTTCGCGATCGATGCAAAAATCCAAACAGTTTGTTTTTTGCCACATTAAAATTGACAATGACCAAAGGAAGACGTTGACAAGAACGAATTCGGTCAACCGAACGGTGCCGGAACAGACGCGTTCGTTGTGCACCATCGAGTTTCTCTCGGTCAGATACAAGTCCTCGTCGTAGTACTCGTCTTCGGTCAGGTTGCCACCCGACTGAGTTCTCGGCCTACGATTTCCCAAGTTCGGGTACCGCGTGGCCTCGGTGAACAAGGACGTTTCGACGTTGAGGAACAACGTCTTCCGCAACCAATTGACTCTGTCGCCGTCGAGTGCGGTGAACTTGATGTACGAAAAGCTTATGTTGCAATCCAACGGAGTCATGTCACCGTTGTTGTTGTACAAAGGTTCGGTTCCATTCTCGTCCAGAGCGAATGGGCCCGAATACGGTCTGTAACACCCGTGAGCGCAGTACGGGTTTTCCGTGTTGTACACGTGCGACAACACTCCCACGAGCACCGTGCAATTCGAATTAATCGGTCCTGTTATATTATAATATATATATATATATTTTGTTAATAGTTGACATGAAATATTATTTTTATGTTAATATAGGATATTTTTCAAAATTATGTTAAAAAATATCAAGTCGATTCGTTAATAATCAACGAACACATGACGATGTGTTTTTTCACTCTGTATATTTATACAGAACGATTTTTTACGCATGGTACCCTTAATTTTTTGTTGAATTATGATTTTACCAAGTTTATTATAAGGAAAATTAATTTCAATGCGTAGATTTTAGGGGTGACTTTCGAAAGTTAAACGACAACATATTGTTATTTTTTTTAATATTAAACAAGTAATGATCTAATAAATATTTAGACTGGTCAATATCCAGTTTCATAATATTAATTTTTTAGATATTAGCATTAAAAGATTTAGAAAATATAAGTAGCGGGCTATTGTTTAGCAACGTACTTTTTTTTATTATGATGCACAGATAAGAATTCTTCATAGATTTCCATTTAACTTTTTAAAGTCGTTCCTAAAATCTACCCTTAGAAATCATTTTTTCTTACAATAAACTTGATATATTTACAATTATTTATCAAAATAGACGAAATTTTATTTTATTTTCATGGAAAAATAATTTTTTATATAAACATTTGGGTATCATTTAATAAAAAACTGAACACCTTGTATATAATGCACTTAATTTTAATTTAACTTTTATATGTATATTATCCATATACATAATTAGTATAAGAAAGTGTTGAAACTTTCATGGATTGTCATATTATTTGAATAGCTTGAGGATTTATCCATGTTTGCAGTTGATTGCTGACGTTTCGGACTCGTTGCAGAGTCCATCTTCGGAGTGATAGTTACTGCTCGGTGGCTGAAACTATACTGGCGGCTTATCTTGTTATCAGCCTGTTTTTATACGTTGGTTGTTTATCATATCAGTTGTTTACCGTATCGGTTGTTTATCAAATCTGTTTATGATTCCTGTTGTTTACGGTATTTTGTTTTTGCTCATGTTTTTGTTGACAGATTTGATAAACAACCGATACGGTAAATAATTGATATGATAAACAACCAACGTATAAAAACAGGCTGATAACAAGATAAGCCGCTAGTATAGTTTCAGCCACCGAGCAGTAACTATCACTCCGAAGATGGACTCTGCAACGAGTCCGAAACGTCAGTAATCAACTGCAAACATGGATAAATCCTCGAGCTTTTCAAATAATAGTATAAGAAATTTCAGTAAAAGTCTTTTGTTCCGGTTTTCGTTAAAAATTAGACCTGGGAAAATTCTCCCCTCGTAAATAATGCCCTGTCCTTTTTCTTGTACAGTTTTCAGAAAAAAGAATTATAAGACTAGATAATCACGTCTGCTTGTGTCGGTACTCACTTTTGTAAACAATACCGCCTATATCGTCTGCGCAAAGTTTTATATGAGTCGATTCGTTATGCGGAGAACACAAGAACAAATGCCACATTGTTTCGTTTTGTAATTTTCTGAAAATACAAATATTGAAATGAAACAGTTTTGAAAGTCCGCGAGTTGTTTGATTAGTCGATTTAGAAAAAATAAATTTATTTATTTCCATTGAGCAGTGTGTTGATAAAATAGCTATATTATTTGCCTTTTGGAAAAATAAAACGTAAAAATAGATAGCACAAAAGTGACGTCTTCTTATTCCTTAATCCCAACTACTTGGGGTCGGCCACCCTTATCCTAAACTTCCACTTGACTTGATCTCCCACATCATCTACGCTCACACCAGCTGTCCTCAAATCGCATTCAATATCATACCTCCATCTCTTTTTATGTCTTCTTCTACCTCTTCTTCCTTCAACATTCATTTCTATAACTGTTGTTAACCGCAAAAAATGAAATATAAGACTGGGATATTAAAGTACAAAACAATCGCTTTGATTGAATTTATAACAAGTCTACGCCGAGCTGTGATAATTAAAGTTTCATCAAATAATACCAACCCGTCGATTAGTACCGGACATCTGTTTCCGTTGTAATATATCGTCACTAGTTCTTCTTTGTTTTGAGTAGAATACGACTTGAAGGGGAAATCTCTCTTAGTCTTCATTGGCAAGTCGGATTCTTCGACAAATCGCATTTGTCCGAGGGGCGCTGGGAACACAAATCGAGGTTCTATGATTAAAAACGCTAAATTACTATCTTTCAACGTGACGTTCCATTGAGGATGAACGTGTTGTTTGATGACAGTGGACTGTTGCACTACTACACCGTCCTCCATTATATAGGCCTGTCAACGTTTGGAAAACTCGTAATTATTGTTAACTTTGTTACGATTATTGCGATGGAAACTCGCAATTAGATTGCCAAAAAACGTTTACCTTCATGTCGTAGGCCGGCTGCCGGTCGGGTAGCAGAATACCGTTCCATTCGCCGGTACAAGAAGCCGACGTCAATATCGCGTTGGTCGTCAGTAAGGTACCCGAACAAGGTATCACTTGCAGTCCAAACTCGTGGTCGGTGTCGTTTATATTCCTAACGGCCTCCAAGTACACCGTCACTACTTTAATGGCACAGTGTTCTTCTAATTCGTCACAGGTTACAAAATATTTGTAAGCGCACAAACATATCAGAATTTCAAAAAATAAAAATATCATCAGAGTGAAAATTCATGTAAAAATAATCTTCTATTGTATAGACAACTAAAAGAAACAATAAAACTGCACGGAGCAAAACATAATGACATTATTGTGTAATTAATTATTTTTTTACAACATTAAATTAATATATTTTTTTTTATTTATGTATTGTCGTACTACAGACAGCTATTTTTCGGTTAATCGTGTTTTCTTCGGTGTAATAATAGTGTAATAATATAAAATTGAAATATCAATTTCAAGTAATACATGTCTTATGGATAATAAAAATTTGTTGTTATTTAAAAACAGAATATTCATGAGTTCATACATGTGATAAAGTCGAGGAATTCCTATGGGTAAAAAACCGCTATTTTAAAATATTCATATTAAATATTATCATGTTCATAATTACAAGTTTGATAATCATAAATTTTATTGTCGAGTTTGCTTGTTTAAAATTTTAAATATAAAGGTTGGCTTGTTTATGAAATGTAAGTTTTAGAAAGAATTTAAGTCTTCTTACCACTATAATAGCAGCTAGTTTTAATTTAAAGAGTTCACGATTTAGTTAAACTGTGCGTTCCAACAGTACACTTAAATTAATGATATTAAAGTAAATTAGAATCATTTTAATAGATTAAGTTGAAATAAAAATCCTATGTTGCAATATATAATTCGAATCTACAAAATTGAAATCTTATTTCGTTAGAACAACTAATTATTATTTATATAGCAACTATAAAAAAATGTTATATATTTTTTAAATAACTACTAAATGTACATTATGCTAAATTATGTAGCACGATATTTAAACATGAAATATCAGAAAATGTACAATAGTCATTGTATATTATATACGATTATACAAGAAAAAATGTTTTGTCAATCAACATTTTAATTGTGTGTTCAAAAATAGGATTGACATCGAAAATGATAATGTATCATGTTCATCATCATTTTTCGGAACTGGATGTCTCAGAAGTAGTCTAAACAAATTTTTTAAACTCAACAACGAATCACTAATCATCATGTGGGCATTATGAAAAATTAAACTAGCTATTCTAAAATTAAAAAATTAAAAAAGTCAAGAAAATTAATTTTTTGTGTTTAGTAAATCATTTATACGGGATCACTCTCTAGGTTAAATTAATTGTAAGCTATAAATAATTTGTTCTAAAGAGTGATAGTAAAGCGTTAACATTTTTTAATACAATCACAGATTTATTGGTTAAGTTTATGTTATATCCCGATAATTTATGAAGTTATGATTAAGTCACTGTTTGGATGATTCAGCCAACATGTCAGGTAGATTTAATGGTGTAAAAAAATTAATCGAAGATTTTCAACCAAAGAGTTGTTACAAAGTTGTATGTATACAACTATGTATACATACAAAGTTGTATGTATACAACTATGTATACATACAAAGTTGTATGTAAATTGCAGTAATCATTCTTTAGATTTAGAATTATAGAAAGTTGACAGAAAAAATGGTTTTATTTGTGATAGTTTTATTATGGTTAAGGATGTATCATTTTGAGCCATGTTTTCAAATGTACAATCTAAGTAATAAAAAAAAAAAAATCTTCTTCCATTTTGTCCAACTAGATGGTCTGTTAGAGTGAAAAGCTTGAAAATTATCAGAGGGTTCATCAAATAATAAGTTAAATGCTTAATGGAAATATATGTATAGCAGATGAAAGGAATGCTTCACTTAGAGGATATATGAAAAAATTAAATAATCAATTCAAAACAATGTTTTTTCTAATTATATCAATAAATATTTTTCGTAGAGTAAAACAATGTGCAAAAATGTTAGAGGATCCTAAGTTTTGTGTATCTGACTCAATAAAATGTGCAAATTTATTTAACGAAACATTTTTATCTTTCAGAACTGATGAATATTTTGAAAAAAAATGTTTGATTTAACAAAATTGAATTCAGATAAATATGATTTAGAACCAATAAAATATACAAAACGTATCAAACAACTATCTGAAAGAATCCACATAAAAATAGTTCTTCTGTACAATTAACACCAAAATGCACATAAAAAAGTTATATGTTTGAAGTAATTGACTACTTGAGATAAATAAAACCGTAAAATAAATATTAAAATAAAAAATTAAATGGGAAAATATTATTTTCTTACAATTGAATGGTGTACTTTGAACTACATTGAACTAAGATGTAAATATTACTTTGATCAATCCATAACCGTATAATTATTTTTTTTAGAGTATTAACTATCAAGAGTTACCATTGAAATCTATCCGAACCCTTAATGGAAAATTTTTCTTACAATAAATTTGATATTTACACTGGCCTGTAATAATAAATAAAACTTTAATCTATACATTTTAATTTAAAAAACCCAGCACAGTGGGGTCGCGGCATAGTGGGGATGTTGCATAGTTGGGTCCAGTATAGATTTAATCTGACAGTGATTAAAATCACTATCATAAGAAACGCTTCGATGCAAATCAGTAGATAGTGTTTAATTCTAAGAAATTGGTGGATAATTACAAAAGCTACATTATCTGCTAGTTTCTTATTAATACCCTGATTAAGATAAAGTATGTCGAATGAAAAAGGGATTATTAAAAAATATTATTTCTCATAAAAAAATTGTGTTGATTCGTACACTTTTCAATGAGTTATAGCATTATAAAGTTAAAAATGTAACCAACCCAACCCAACATCAACTCCTATTTCCTTAATTATATCCAGATTAGTAATTATTTTAATTATATATTATATAATTTTTATAATTAATTATTTTCAAATTATTATTGATTTTTAATATGTTAAAAGTAATCATTTTGAACCTACTTCTTTTTGTTCTTTAAAGTGAAAGTTTTAATAAAAAAAAAATGAATTTATTACCATAACTTTTAACTCAACTTGCAAGTTTGAAATAAATATTATTAAATAGAAAAAAAT